TTCACATCAAGTGACAAAGTACAAAACTTATATGCCTCTAGCTACAATCTTCAACATGTTTTGTTATTGGCAACTAACTAATGAATTATAAATGTTTCTGAATTGTTGATAGGAACTGGTTTTGCAGAAAGATCCTTTGCAGAAATGTGACTTGAATAAAGAATTACAACAGCCTATTGTTTATCTTTAATTAGGCCCGAGCCCCGAACGGGGTAAGGGCCTATTGCTTTCACAATGGTGAAAACAAATGGTGGCGGTGCGTGACGGACGCGTCAGCGCCCGTCACTCACCAAAACGTGACGGTTGCGTGCGTAAACTCAAACGCTTTAAAATGATGTATCACATGCCATTGAAACCTATATTGTTTTTGCTCGAGACGTTAAAAAAAAAAATCATTAGGCCCGAGCCCCGAACGGGGAAAGGGCCTATTGTTTTTGCTCGAGAGATGTCAAATTCTGCACTTTGAGCCTTAATTTCACCCCCTGAACATGCATGAAAAGTTGTAAAATTTTGACCAAACATCAGACCTGGTGAAAAATTTGATATTTTGGTGTTTATTTTTATGGGACTCAAAAAATGCCAGAACAGCGCCACCTACAACAGCCAATGGGAGTTTCAGAGGTCAAGTTTGTCGTAGAGCCATGAAATTCGGTACACATGTTCCTCAAGTCAAGATACGACCGAAATGTTATCATGGCTCCGCCCTCTGACAAACAGGAGGCCCATAAATTTCACTGCAAAATTGAAAAATGATCCACAATCATTTTCATACATGTCGGTTGGAAAGCGACTCCTCCTCGGCCGTTTCACCGATTCGCCTCAAAATCGCTCCACATCGTCTCAACACATGTACCTTCAAAATGACCTCAGGGATTTTTGATCAGTGAAACGTTGTTTGAGCAGCGGAGCGGCAAAATGTGACCTTTTTTTGGCTGTTTTTGACAACATTAAATTTGCTCCCGTTTGCACAAACAAAGTCTGATTAGCACAAAACTTTAATACATTGTTCAACTCTAGGGTCTAGGTCATTTGAAAGTGAATTGATTCAAATTGACACATTAGCGCCCCCTACAGACTATTTCAAAGTTTTAGATGGGCATTTTCAAATTATTTTTTTTCAAAACGTTTGAAATTTTGCACATAAATCTGTTTTGCCCTCTTGATTCAAAAAGTCAATTGGGTCCAAGGCTTATTTTTTACCCTGTTGCCGTGGCGACGACAAACGCTCCCCATTCATTGCAAATGTACACCTCACACAAACATCAAACCAGCCTCGGCCGTTTCACCGATTCACCTCAAAATCGCTCCACATCCTCTCAACACATGTACCATCAAAATGACTTCAGGGAATTTTTATCAGTGAAACGTTGTTTGAGCAGCGGAGCGGAAAAATGTGAGGGTTTTTTGGCCGTTTCTGACAACATTAATTTTTTTCCCGTTTGCACAAACAAAGTCTGATTTGCATTAAACTTGAATCCATTGTTCAACTCCAGGGTTTAGATCATTTGAAAGTGAAATATTTAAAATTGGCCCATTAGCGCCCCCTGCAGACTGAGTCAAAGTTTACATAGGGAGCCAAACCAGCTCTACTTATCATATTCATTACAATTTGACTAACAATCTTCTATGGCTATGGGAACAAATCACCACACGGCGGCGCCACCTCCTTTGAGCGGTGCTGCGTGGTACGGTGCTGTGCGGCGTAGTTTGGGGCGTAGTGCGGGGCGGCGCGTTGTGGCTTGGTGCGGGGCGGCGTGATGGGGGACGGCGTGGTGCAGGGCGGCGTGGTGCGGGGTGGCTTGTCACGGGGTGGTGCGCGCGGTGCGGGGGAGTCGCGCGGTGCGGCGAGGGCCGTTCGACGCCGCTTGCGGCTTTAATTTATTTCTTTCTTTTTTCTTCTGCACTTTGAGCCTTAATTTGACCCCCTGAACATGCATGAAAAGTTGTTAATTTTGGCCCAAAAATCAGACCTGGCGAAAAATTTGATATTTTGGTGTTTATTTTTATGGGACTCAAAAAATGACAGAACAGCGCCACCTACAACAGCCAAAATAATACCCCTATGGGACTTTTCGGAGGTCAAGTTTGTCGTAGAAACATGAGATTTGGTACACATGTTCCTCAAGTTAAGACAAGAAAAAAATATTATGGCTCCGCCCTCTGACAACCAGGAAGCCCATAAATTTCACTGCAAAATGGAAAAATGAACAGCAAAAGTTTTCATACATGTCGGTTGGAAAGCGACTCCTCCTCGGCCGTTTCACCGATTTGCCTCAAAATCGATCCACATCATCTCAACACATGTACCTTCAAAATGACCTCAGGGATTTTTGATCAGTGAAACATTGTGCGAGCAGCGGAGCGGCAAAATGTGACCTTTTTTTGGCCGTTTTTGACAACATTAAATTTGCTCCCGTTTGCACAAACAAAGTCTGATTTTCACAAAACTTTAATACATTGTTCAACTCTAGGGTCTAGGTCATTTGAAAGTTAAATGATTCAAATTGACACATTAGCGCCCCCTACAGACTATTTCAAAGTTTTAAATGGGCATTTTCAAATTTAGTTTTTTCAAAATGTTTGAAATTTTGCACATACATCTGTTTTGCCCTCTTCATTCAAAAAGTCAATTGGGTCCAAGGCTTATTTTTTACCCTGTTGCCGTGGCGACGAGAAACGCTCCCCATTCATTGCAAATGTACACCTCACACAAACATCAAACCAGCCTCGGCCGCTTCACCGATTCGCCTCAAAATCGCTCCACATCATCTCAACACATGTACCATCAAAATGACTTCAGGGAATTTTGATCAGTGAAACGTTGTTCGAGCAGCAGAGCGCCAAAAAGTGGCGTATTTTTTTTCAGTTTTTGACAATAGAAAAATTGTTTCCGTTTGAACAAACAAAGTGTGATTGGCACAAAACTTGAATCCATGGTTTAACTCTTGTGTCTAGGTCATTTGAAAGTTTAAATTTTGAAATTGGCTCTATAGCGCCACCTACAACAGCCAATTTAAAAATGCCTATGGGATGGGTTCGAGGTCAAAATTGTCGTAGAACCATGTAATTTGGAACACATGTTCCTCAAGTCAAGACATGGATAAAATGTTATTATGGCTAAGCCCCCTGACAAACAGGAAGCCCATAAATTTCATTGCAAAATGGAAAAATTAAAACCAATCATTTTCATACCCGTCGGTTGGAAAGCGACTCTTCCTCGGCCGTTTCACCAATTGGCCTCAAAATTGTTCCAAATCATCTCAACACATGTACCTTCAAAATGACTTCAGGGAATTTTAATCAGTGAAACGTTGTTTGAGCAGCAAAGCGGCAAAATGTGAGGGTTTTTTTGGCCGTTTTTGACAACATTCATTTTTTTCCCGTTTGCACAAACAAAGTCTGATTTGCATTAAACTTTAATCCATTGTTCAATTCCAGGGTTTAGGTCAGGTTAAAGTGAAATATTGGAAATTGGCCCATTAGCGCCCCCTACGGACTGTGTCAAAGTTTACATGGGGAGCCAAACCATTTCTACTTATCATATTCATTACAATTTGACTAACATTCTTCTATGGCTACGGAAACAAATCATCACACGGCGGTGCCACCTCCTTTTAGCGGTGCTGCGTGGTACGGTGTGGTGCGGCGTAGTGCGGGGCGTTGTGGAGCGGCGCGTTGCGGCTTGGTGCGGGGCGGCTTGGTGCGGGGAGTGCGCGCGGTGCAGGGAGTCGCGCGGTGCGGCGAGGGCCGTTCGACGCCGCTTGCGGCTTTAATTCAGTTTGAAACTGAAAGTGAGTGGTTGAGTAAACAGAGGCCCAGATTCCCACATGAGTATTTACCGTTACATTCCTGATATTTCCACATCTTGAGCCAAAATAAATAAGAAAATGTGACAAATACAAAAAGACACATCAAACCATTTATACTTCGATTCTTCATTTGGCGACTTGTTCCCAGAGTTCTAGGCTTGTTCCAGACAAAGAGTCCTGTTGCTTATAGTAGCTGAAATATAATATATGTGCAATGTTTAGTGTGGTCTGCTTCTGCATTGGAGTCAGTTCTGGGGAAAATTCCAAGGAAATCTATCTCAAACCTCCCCTGCATTTGAACTCAACAAAAAAACCTTCTTCTGCAGCCTTAATCCCCATACTGTTACTGTGTCCTTTAGCAGAACACTCTAGTCAATGTCATATGGTCAAAAGAGAGCATCTAGAGAGAATTTGATGGGCATCTGACCTTGTTTTTGTCTGGTATATCTCATTATGCGCAAAATTAGATATATCAATATGTTATAATGTTGGTAATTGTCTCACAGCTGAATAAAAACTCTCAGAATATTAGAATATTATGAGAGTGAAGTTTAAGCCAAAAGCAATCAATCAGACGTTTTTTTTATTTATAGTGCTCTTTACAACACTCAAGCCAACCAAAGTGCTTTACAAAAAAATCCATGCAGTCAAACAATAAAACAGTAAAAAAGTAATGATCACTGAGCTTGAATGGGTCTATACAGTATAATTTATTGGTTTGATATTATAAGTTGGAGTACAGAAAATAAATCATATTTTTTCACAATATTCTGATTTTCCGATTTTTTTCGTGAGGAAAGCTTTCCCTCGTGCAGCAACCCTCCTCCTCCCCATCACCGCATTTGTTGTACAATGCATGAGAAAATGGAGTAAGGAGAAAATATATCAGACCATCTTTTATGTATGAATAAAATATAGCAATAGTTGGAAAGCTTTCAATCGTGCAGCAACCCTCCTCCTCCCAATCACTGTATTTGTCATAAGGTGCATGAGAAAATGGAGTAAGGAGAAAATAACTTCTCTCAGGGTCATAAGAGTCCTTTGTGCTGATTTGTGTAGTGACAGATTGCTTGCTAACCAATAAATACACTTCTAATAACCCTTCTGTCTGTCTGAGTCTCTCTAGTGTGAGACATCTTTATGAAACCATCCCCATTAGCTGACCCACTGAAATCCTAAATGAGATTAAACATGTCTGTGCAGAGAAGGTCCAGGTTTATTTAAAGAAAGTGTGATCGGCACCTGAGGCTTTTCTTAACCTCTGCTCTCGTCTCACTTTAGCCGTGGCCTTAATCCTTGCACAGATTTATGCTAAGCTAAGTGGCACAAAGCATTAGGAGAGCCACACTTTCTCCCAGGTCCTCATGGATGACATTGATTTTAAAATGCTTTGTTGGACATGTGTCAGATGATACATACAGTATCGGAGTTTGCAGTTTCTTTACACAGTCCTAACAAAGAAATACAGTAATCATAATACTGGTTGGGTTATAAAGCGCTTTTCAGGACACTCAAAGACACTTCACATGTAAATATTTATTCACTTCAAACACGGTGGTGATACACTACTGCTGTAGCCATAGCTTTCCTGGGGCACATTGACAGAACAGAGGCAACCTGTAGGTAAAGTAGGTAAGTCATGTTTATTTATATAGCGCATTTTACAGACCAAGGTCACCCAAAGCGCTTTACAATGTTCAGAGTTCAGATATTGTTCCAATCATTCCTCACATGGTGATGACGGAAGCGAGTCGCCAAAACACACTGGCACATCAGCTCCAACCAACACCATCCATTTACATTCATACCTATTGTGCATGTTTTTAGTGGTAGGGGAAACTGGAGCACCCGGAGAAAACCTACGCAGACACAGGGAGAACATGCAAACTCCACTCGGCCCTGTTCCAATCTGGATTTGAACCCAGGATCTTCTTGCTGAGAGGCTAGAGTGCTATCCACTCAGCCACTGTGTGTCTTGCCTAACTGTCACATTTGTAGCACATGATGTTCCCAGAAGTCTCCCATCACCGCACTGACCAGGCCCTGCCCTGCTCCGCTTCAGAGGTCCAATAGGATCTGGCTTGTACATGCAGATATTGCCACTTATGTCAATTGAAGCATATTTGAATTGTAAATTGCGGACTTATTGTGTTATAGAAATATTTGTTGCCTTTTTAAAGTGATTGTCTGGAGTTTGTCAGAAAGAGAGACAGAGAGGTACTTGATTTGAAAAAAACGACGCAAGCTCCCTCCCCATTCCTTTCTGATTGGTCTCCGCCTATGTTTCTGTAACACTTAGAAATGTTAATCAGAGAACATATTATACATATACATTATTAATACACATGCATGGAGGTTTTCAGAATTATTTGTGAACGTTTTAATGAAAAAAAATATGTTTTTATGCACACAAAAAAGCGATCGTGGCAAACCAGGAAGTGCTATTATCATGAATTGCACATTATAGGACACACCTGCAGAGGATCTGATTATGGATATAGGTTCAGTATATACATAAGTACCTCAGCGTGGATGTTCATAATTCTTTGTTCAGTTTTCATGTAGTTCCAGAGCCTAATAGAGGCTCCGCGAAAACAAACAACTGCGCATGCGCGCAGCTGCGAGCATCAGCGCCGATGATTGACAGCCCTTGGTTACAGACTATCACTTTAAGTATAGCACAACAATCTTTAGCTGGATATACAAGTATAAAATGTATAGAAATAAAGTATAAAAAAACATTTCCATCCTTGTTTCCACGGCAATAGCCAAATCATTCATTTCTGTGGAGAAATAGTGCCCTTCATACCCATTCTTGGAAAACATAGCAGTTTGAACCTTTTGATCTTTTAAGTGTTTTCTATGTACTTCTATGTTATGTCACGTTGTTTATTCTGCCACGACCCTTTCTCTTGTTTGTGTTGAACTTTTCCAAAACACCGAGCTTACACTGATCACTGGGGCTTACCCTTTGGCGGCCTGCAGCGCCTCTAATAGGCTCTGTTATCTCAGTCTGCTCACGCTCCAGCTCTGCGGAGGAGGCGACACCGGCTCACACCAGCAGCTTACCGACACACGAAGCACAGCCGGACACCAGCAGGTAATATATCTCTGTACACAGGACTTTTCACACTTTTATTGCTGTTATTTAGGTCACAAACAAGAAATGTGTTTCAGAGGAGTCGGAATATTTGCAAGTTATTGTCAATCAAAGCCATGTATCAAATAAGATACATGGAAATAGCTTGCTCACCAGGGGAATTGAAAGGTGTCCTGCAGAAATAGTTTTTATACTGTATAAGTAGAAGTTTGTGAAGAGCAGATTTTCTCATTAGCTTGTTTTGGCGGAATCCAAAATCACTTTCTATAGAGCACCTTGGCTTCTCACATACACACTTTTGTTGTTGTTGTTGTTAAAGGTCCTCTATCTCTTCTAACGTTTCAGGGCAAGGTTTTTAGTTGTCTTTAGTGAAAAGTTAGATCTCAGGAACCTTCTTTTCATTCATAATATACTTTGTTTGTCCCAACAGAAAGAAGCTTGTAATAGTAAAATCTGGCAAATATGTTATTTTTCTCATTTTTTAAGAAACACAAGATAAACCTTTATTTGCCTCAGAATGGAGAAATGTACATATTAGATTTGGCATATATAGACAGAGCCCTTTAAGTCACTATTTGACACTTAAGGCTGAGAGCTGATTGGCTGAGTTTCACTTTTCTGTCAGAAAAAGCCATTGTGAAGATGAGACAGAGGTCAAACCTACATGTATGTGATAGAACCAAATGGATTCAAAGGCATGTATTTTTGGCCTCTGTCTAAAGAATGAACTATTATGAGGAATAGATAGATCTGTCCTCGTGCAGGTCACAACGACTCCGACTGTGTATACGTGTCATGTGTCCTGGTGTGGATTTTTATTTCTGTATTTGGTTTTATTTTGACATTAGTTATCTGGTTTCATTTCAGTTTTACTTGTCCTGTTCCTCTGTCTTGATTGTCTGCCCCGCCCTGATGTGTTTCACCTGTGTCTGTGTGTGTGTCTATATGTACCCTGTGCTTCTCTCCCCTTGTTGCTGCTGCTTTGTCTTGTCAAGGTCTGTTCTGTTCCTGTGTGCCTGGTTGCTTTGTTGTTTTATTTTTACCTTGGACTTTATTTATGAAATCTTTATTTTTGGCTTGTCCTCACTCACCCCACGTAGTGACCGTATGACTCGAATATGATCTTTCGATGTCTCTATATGTATGCTTTTCGATGAGTGACGTACCATTGACTATAGAAAGCATATCCTACCTTTGTTCTGTCTGAAAAAAACTGAAAGAAATTGAGAATGAACTTCTAGGTTGCTCTGGTGCTTAAAGATCCCGTCTGTGAGGCTGATTTTCCAAAGATTTGGTGGAGAACGTGGAGCTCAGAGCGCACCTTTGCCGTGGTTGTTTTGAAGGCTTTTTTCTCCAGACAGAACAAAGTTATGCTTTATGTAGTCAATGTTACGTCACACATCCATATATGTGTCATATAGAGAGACATCAAAAAATCATATTATTTAGTAATTTATATTTTATTGGTTTTCTTTTGCAGTCATATATTAATAAGTGTTTATCAGTCAGTATGACCACAGTTTAAAAAAAATAAAAAATAAAATAAGATGCCATGAGAGGAGAAAATTAACAAAAATAAATATAAAGTTAATAAATAAAGAAAATAAATACCAAATAAATAAAATTAAAGAAAAAATAAAAGTAAATAAATAAATAAAGAATATATATATATAAAAAGAAGAAAACACAAAAAATACCAGATAATAAGAAATAATTATTATGAAGAAGGCAGTGGGGTCACACAATTAGATTTGTAACCATGTCAAAGCATTTTCCATGTCAGAGCTCTTCAAAGAGGGGAACATTGAGTGGGGACATTTTTTGGCGCACATAATACAAGATAAATAAAAAAATATCTCTATAATAAAATAAAATAAAATCTCACTTTATAACTTTACCATCATGAATAAGCAAAAATGAAGTATAACATTTCTTATTTTTTGCATATCATCAAAGCAAATTTAAAATCTCTAGTTTTTAACATCATGAAGAAGCAAACTAACTAAGTATAAAATCTTCGGCTTTTGCATAAAATGCTGTATATTCTAGTGCAAGAAGTAAGATAGGTACCCTTCTTGCACCAGAGTCTCTATCTTTAGAATAATAATTCAATTGCCACTGTTTTGTACATAATTATATCCTGCACAGACTATATTTTGATCCTTTAACATGTTGCACACTTCTGTCTTTCAGCACAATCTGAGTGATTCTATCTGTGCCAAATGTGACATGTACATTTCTCCAGTGTGAGATCAAAAACATCTATCATACTTTATCTTATCAAGTAGAAAGTAGGTCCCCTCAGCTTTACTATACTGTATATTACCATGACTTCACCCCTCACCGTTCCTCCCCCTGCAGGATGAGGCCTCGCTGTCTCCTGTCGTGTGTGGACCGTCTCCCGACCATCAACGAGAGCCAGGAGCTGGACCTGCAGGAGGTTCCCCCCGGCCGCAGCATGGTGGAATACATGGACTCCATCAGAGAACTGTCCCAGCCGCCCCAGCCCTGCTACCCCCTCCACGGCCCGCTCCGAGGCCACAGCCGCTGGGCAACGAGAGCCACGGCCTCCGCCTCCTCCTCCTGCCCCCGGGCGTGCGCGGCCAGGACGCCCATAGAGCTGTCCGACGTGTTCATCTCAGTCACCGAGAGATATCTGCATCACAACGTTGTCATGGATACCGAGTCTGTCTTTGCCGGACTCTAGGCTTTGGTGATGGATTAAGATTTAGATTCTTTAAGATTTTCAGACCTATTTATTGTGTGGCGTTTGTATAATTTATAGATTATCTTGAAAATATTTTGGCCAATCAGAAAGACCACTTTGCTGGTTGTCATGCAGTGTTAGATTTTTTAAAGAAATGTGCCTTTGAAAGAAAAACGTAGTGAATTAATTATTGACCAAAATATACAAATATTCTTTAGGCTTTTGTGATTCATGTAAATGGGAGCAGGTCGAGTTAGGTGGACGACATGCAGTTTTTGTGCTATTTATGTTTATGTATATAATATGTATATAATGTGTGTAATGTTACTTAAAGAAGACATATTAGAAATTATTTTGACCATTAAACAATATAATGAGACTATTTACTTTGTCATTTCATGCTTTAGAGTAGAATATGAATGGTGAAACCTGTATGAAAAGTAAAAAAAAGTGTCTTTCTGCCTGAAACTCCTTTTGCTACCACCAGAGGGAGCAGTAGAACTTTGAAAATCACCGCTTCTAATACGCACATGTGATTGCAAAAAACTAATTCAACTTATTACCAAAATAAGATTATTTTTGGGCAATATGTTTTAAGATATATAAAGTATGACATCATTATGATACAATGACCTCATTCAAATTCTGAAAAATTCTAGCACTTGCTCCAAGCTGAAATCTCTCTGAACCAGTCTAGGAACAGTCAAGGACCATTCAAGGACCAGTCAAGGACCAGTGAAGGATCAGTCAAGGACTAGTCCAGGCTCAGGACAGAACCAGTCTAGGATCAGTCCATTACAGTTTTTTTAAACATTTCTTAGAAGTAAACTACATATGAAAACAGAAGTTATCAAGAACAAAAACGTACATAAGTGAAGTAAATACACACAGTAACTTCCAAACCGAAAAGCTGTCAAATTGACTGCTCCCAGGGTCCTTGTGTCCTGCTAAGTTCCACCCGCTGCTCTGTAATGTGAAGAATGCATATTAAAATCATTGCATTTTAAAGCTGACAGAATAAAACCAACCATTATACACTTCTGACTTCTCTTGTTGACATCATTTGCAAACTAAAATGTTCAACTTTTCAGCCTGACTTCTTCTGTAGTTGCTTAAGTTTCTCTTTCCCCTAAGTGCAGCTAATATGTGGAAACGGTCTCCAGCAGGGACTTGGCAGACGACGCTGGATTCGGCTCCAACAAATATGCAGAAGGAGGGATCTGAGTCTGGGTCCTGGGAGACTTTTGCAGAACAAGCCTGGAAGTGCGGCCCAAATCTGGTCAGAACCCGCGTCATTGAAAGACACTGAAATCCTCACGGGGAGAGGTTCTGTGGAAGCAGACGCTGACTTATGTCTGACATAGTTTGAGTCTGGTGATGTTAAAGCTGTCATGATGAGCCATGACATTCCTGCATTTACACATGTCTGGCGGGAAGTGACAGGAAGTGTGTACGATCAGGTGTGAGTTTGGTTCTTCAAAGGAAAGAAGCCGGGTAGAGGATTGAATTTAAGATATTGGTTAAAAGTGTAATGATAGCACTATAGGCATTATATACAGGACAAATGTGTATTGATTTTGAATGGTGATATCTGACAGAATAATCACAAATTTTGTCACTTTCACTCTGAAGGACCACCGACACTTTTATGTATTATGTAAATCCAATCCAATCCACTTTATTCATAAGTTTCAAAAGATAGATAAAAGAGATAAAAGAAGGGAGATAAAAAGGAACACATTTGAATATACAGGTTTTCCAGTTTTATATGTATAAAATATAAGGAGTAAAACATTCTGATGTAGAAGTAAAACAATAAAATAAATCAAAATATGAATAACCAAAAATATCCGTGTATTAGTTCCTCACCCTCAACTCGCAATCACTACTATTCACATTTATTTTTGGCCTCGGTCACAACTTTAAATTATCTTTTTCAGACAAAAAGAGAAAAAAAGAGTGCTCTCTCACTCAGCCAATCAGGTCTCAGCCCAAAGCGTCAAAGAGTGACTCCCAGGGCTCTTTGGCACAAGTATGTAAAGGATAAAAAGCTTAATGATAACACAAAGACAGCTTGTTGTGGCCTTATATGATGTTCACCTTTTTCTTTTTTCTTTTACAAGACTGGGAGACATGGGACATGGGACATGGGAGAAACACCATGGGTTATTGGAGTGAGGGACCCCAGCTTTAAAGGTATATCATCAATCAATCAGTCATTTTTATGTATAGCACAATTCGTGTACAAGGCAATTTAAAGTGCTTCACAAGAGAAATTTTAAAACACAGATCAAAATGCATTAAAAGTCAATAAAAGTATGGGGTTTAAAACACAGTAAAAAGCGGGTTTAAAAAGGGCAATAAAAATAATAAGTAGTACAAAATAGAATCAGTAAGTTGTATGCACAGCTAAAAATATATATTTTCAGCCTAGTTTTGAACATTGTCAGGGTAGAGGCCTGTCTCACAACCCCAGGAAGAACGTTCCATATCCTAGCTGCATGAATCTGAATTCGGGCGTTCTGCTCTCCCAAAATTCCATCCGATGGGCGGGGGAGCGACTGAATTTTGCGTTGCATTATGGGTAACACTTGCCTTCGCAACTTCCGGTTCTCTCTGCCCGGCGCATTTTCTCTAAATGGTTGAGTGTTTTCGTCATTTTCTGTATGCAAATACATTCCCGTCTCTAACTAGTGGCATATCGCGCAAATCATCCGTCCAATTCACATTCTTCCCTCTTAGCTGAACTTCATTCTCATTGTTACCATCTGTCACTCGCACACACAGCCGTTTTCGTTCACTCTGCTCGCTGTCATCTTCTTCTAAATCTTCATAAACACCATCCGCTCGTTGAACTAGCAACAACAATTCCTCCTTTCGTTTTCCCACACTGCAAATACCCTTTCGCTTCAACCTTTCACGCAATTCAGGCACTGTCAATCGTTTGTTGTTTTCGTGAGCCATATTCGCCATTGTATGAAATCAACCGGAAGTGAACTGGGCAACAAACGGTGTCATTTTTTGATCACAGCGCCGCTCAGTGGATGAAATTTTGGGAGAGCAGAACGCCCGAATTGCTGCCTCCCCGTGTTTGGTCCTGACTCTGGGTTCATATGGCACTAGCATGTCTCGGGTGCACCCCGGTGCATATAAGAAGAATCATCAAGACGATTGGTCCTCCTAATTGTCAATCATTCTGGTGAGATGTGACTAGAGGCCATCATGCGTTTCAGTCGTTAGAGTTTCCCTTTGGAGAGGGCGGTTCTTTCCTAAAATTTGGGAAGATCCTCCTATATACTGTACCTTTAAGTATTGAATAATTATTTTGGATTTTTAACGACATTTGAGAATGTATTTACACCAATTCAAAGAAGAAGAAGACAGCAAATCTCCTAGGCCTCCTTTCACTCGAGGACCACCTCACTCCAGACCGGGGGTGTCAAACGTATTTTGGTTGAGGGCCGAATAAAAAATAAAAGGGCTGGTCAGGAGCCGAAAGAATAAGTGGGTTTCATTTATTATACTTTTTTATAATATGAATGTATCTAAATAAATGACTTGTTTCACATTAGTTGGATTGGATATTATTTTCTGATTAGAATTCCTTTGGACTGAACCAAAACTGGACCTAATATTGAAGGTATATTGGAAGATTTTCTACTTTTGGGAGAATCATCAAGACGATTGGTCAATCATTATCGGTCATATTGGTCACAATTGTCCATCATTCTGGGGATTTGTGCTCGTCAAATAAGACCAGAGAGTTTGTTCAAAAAGTGGAGAGGGCAGTTCTTTTCTAAGAAATTTGGGAAATCCTCCTTCATATCTTTAAGAAGAAGACCTTTAAAAAACAGACAGACAAAGTACAAACTTCTAATTACATGTTGGTTTAATATTTCTTATGGAATTACATTTTATGGTTGTTTTCTTAGTAATGGATACATGTCATTGTCGCCTATACCATTAATGCTGCTATTTATTATAATAATTCAAAATCATCTCAAGGTCCACTGGAACTGGTCTCGCGGGCCGATTCTGGCCCCTTGGCCTTGACTTTGACACTTGTGCTCTAGACCAATAATTCTAGACTCAAGCTGTCAATGGTCAAATATTAATGTTATTCTTGTTTTAGTTATATTCATGTCCTGGTGTTATTAGTTTAGTTTGTTAATTTATTTCAACAAGGACAATGTGCAAATACATTAATTAAAGATGCTTTGCACCAGATTTAGCTTGAGCTAGTTTCCATCTGCAGTCCCTGAGCAGGTGAGTCACAACATGTAAAATATAAAATATATTTAACCACTCGAATACAAATATTCATTCATACATTCACCCGTTACATCCATCAGTCCACATAAAATCATGCAAAAATTACTACATAAAACATCACTAACGGTCATATTTACATTTACAATTATCAGTGCTGACATGACTGGTTCACCAACAGCACATTTTTTGTATTACGAGAGAAAAGTTTCAGGTCTAAGGAAAGTTTCAGACTCTGTGGGAGTTTGTTCCATTCTTTGATGCCTTTGAATGAGAAGGATGTCTGCGCAAAGGCTGAGCTACGTTTAGGCAGTCTACAGTCATTACGACTTGTGGACCTGGAGCTCCTAGTCATCTGCTCAGAACAGAGCTGGACAAATATTTTCAGCGGTGGAGGTGCAGTATTATTCAAAATTTTAAAAACTAATCGCACATTTGCGTACACATTTAAATTATCAAAGTTAAACATGCTGTATTTTCTAAGGATCAGACAGTGATGGTATCTCAATGGATTTTTGTCTAGCACTTTAATAGCTTGATTATATAGAGATTTTAAAGGTTTACAGTTTACAGTACAGTAATTAATATGTGGAATTATCATTGCCTCCAAATAAATTTTTGCCTCATCATGAGTCAGTGTATTCCTAATATGTTTAAAAACAGACAAACTGTATTTTACTGTGTTGCCAATTTTCTTAACATGTTTTTTAAAACTAAACGTTGAATCCAAA